CAGCAGCCAGACAACGACACCAGCAGCGCCAGCGCCAGCGCAAGCACCAGCGCCAGCACCACAACCAGCTCCAGCACCACCGGCGGCACCAGCGCCAGGAAGAGGAGGACGAGGAAGAGGTCGAGGAGGAGGACGGGCCAATGTCAGTAAAGAAGCCGAAGGCGGAGGAGGCAGAGGGAAGCCCAAGGGAGGAGGCACGGGAGATGAACAAAGAATAGCAGCACCAGCACCAGCGCCGCAACCAGCTCCAGCGCCACCAGCGGCCCCAGCACCAGGAAGAGGAGGCAGCAGCCGGACAACGACGCCAGCAGCGCCAGCGCCAGCGCAAGCACCGGCGCCAGCGCCACAACCAGCTCCAGCACCACCAGCGGCCCCAGTACCAGGAAGAGGAGGGCGAGGAAGAGGTCGAGGAGGAGGGCGGGCCAATGGCAGTAAAGGAACCAAAGGCGGAAGAGGCCAAAATGGAGGAGGTAGAGGGATGCCCAAGGGAGGGCGAGGAGGAGGTCGAGGAGGGCGGGCCCATGGCAGTAAAGGGGCCAAAGGCGGAGGAGACCAAGATGGAGGAGGTAGAGGGGGGCCCAAGGGAGAGGGCACAGGAGGTGGACAGAGAAGAGCAGCAGCACCAGCCCCCCCAGCAGCAGCTTCAGCAGCGGCAGCTTCATCTTCTGGGAGGAGTATTGGGAGGAGGGGGCGTGGCTTCGTCATCCCGAAGCGGGGCGAGGGCTAGGTGTGCGTGGTCGTGGAGCCCTCAGGCTGCGAGCCTGTTTGCTTAGACGCACACCAGCTTCTGTGACCCTGCTGGCATCTCGCTGCGTGGCAGCACGGAGAGCAAACGCATCCGCCCCCCTGGATGGCAGCATGTTGGAGGGCAGCATGACACCGCGCTGGATGGCAGCACGCTGGGGGGTGTCACGTTGGACGGCAGCGCACCGATCTGTGCTTCCGATCCGACCGCGGCCCCCTCATCTCCAGTCGAAGACGCTTTGCAGAGCATCGTAGAGAAATGCGTCAGCGACGGAAGTGTCGGGCTGATGGAAGAGATCACCGAGGGGGAGGGCGGTGGCGGTTGCTGGGGGCCCTTCGCCAATCCCAGTCCAATTGCGGAGCCTGGTTTAATCGAGGATCCCAGCGCATCGGGGCGCTGGGGGGCCCTTGGGGGGCCCGCTGTGCAGACGACCGTCGACCCGCTGCTTCTTTCTTCACCCTCTCCGATGGATATTGGCCACGCTGCAGCGGATCCAGGCCTCGCCACCACCGACCTGAAGACAGCAGACTGCGCCCCCTCCGATCATTCAAGTTACCCTGCCTGCGAGTTGATGGTCGATGATGGCGTTGATCAGGGGGGCAGAGTTGATCAGGGGTGCAGAGTGGCAATGATCATAGGAAGTCGAGCACCCCGAGTCAGCCCCTTCACTTGCCCCGAGTCATCGCCCCGAGCCAGCGCCCCGAGTCAGCCGCTTCCAATCTATGTGTATCTCCGAGAATTTGCGCGCGAACGGAAAAGGGCATGCGCGTCGCCGACGGCGAGAGTGAAGGGATGAGCACGCCGATTAGAGGGGATAGTCCAGTCTGGAACACGATGAACAAAACGTGCTCGCCCTGAGCCGCCTGGTCGCGCAGGGCCGCTTCGCGCCTCTCAGGCCTCGGGCCCCTGCTGCCAGATCAAGCCAGCGCAGACGACGCGAGCTCGCGCAATGCTGAGGCAAGACCTGCGCGCTGCCCTGCGACGCCGGCGCGCGAACTGAGGTCCAGAGGCCTCGCGCGCCGGCTATCTCGTCGACTGCGTCGTGGACGGCGGACTAGGCAGCGGCGCGCGACGGGCGCGCGCCTCCCGCCGATCCCCCATCCATCGTGACCCGCGCGCCCGCCGCGGAGGCGCCGTCCGCGGACAGACCTCGCATCGCCTGGCTAGGGCACGGTGGCCTCGCGGATGGTCAAGGAATCGTGGGCTGACTCGTGGGCGCTGGTATCGTCTCACCTGGGAATACAGAGCCCCAGGGAAGGGGCGAGCTCGCCCAGAAATGGCCCCTAGACAGGTGATGATCGACTTTCTGCGCTCCCTACCGGCGCGCCAGCGGCAACCGGCTGGCGTGCGCGCCCCCTTCAGTCTCGGCTGGCCCGACTGGCCAGCGCTTATCAGTCGACGACGCCGGGTCGGTGGGGCACCCGCCTGGTCGAGAGGGCGCTTCCGAGAAGCAGCTCGTGGCCGTTGCCAATCGGCGGGGGGGGGGCGCATTTAGCGCGTGGACAGCTGTGGCGGCGTGGCGCGAGCTCCCCGGGCGATTTCCTCGCCGAAGGTGGGCGGGGTATTGCGATGCAGTCGCCTGCTTCGGCTGGTCATGCAACGGGCGCCCATCGATCTGTCGCCGTTGTGCCCTGTCACGCAGTGACTAGTCGCCCTGCGCGCGTGCCGACTTGTCGGCTCAGGTGCAGTGTCCCTCCTCTCTCTGTCCAGGTGGTGTCGCAGTATCCTTGTCTCCGCCACCTAGCCTTGGGCCTGTGGCGCTCTGCCTTCTGCCGGGGGCGACGCGGCGTTCCCGTCGCCCCCGACGGCGCCCCCCTCGGCGGTGTTTCGTCTGCCCCCTCCTTCCCATCCTTCTGCTTCGTCCTCGCCGCGGGGGTTCGACTCCCATTTGCGCGCGCGCCTGGCGTTCGCGGCCGGCGTGGTACGCTTCTTTTTCTTTGTCTCCTATTCGGGCTCGCCTCCCTTCCTGTCTAGCATCCAGTGCGGCGCCAGCCTGCGTTTCAAGTGTATCTTGGCCGCATTCCTCTTGCTGGTCACAACGGCGCGGTGTCGCCGCGCCATATGAATTCTTGGAGTGCCGTGAAGGCGGGTGAAAAGGGGCTGTTTGGGTAGGGGGCAGGATGAGGGGAGGGCGGTGCTTGTCACCCGGTTGTGCGCGGCACCGACGCAATTCTCGCAGTAATGGGAAGGGCGTTGTGTGTGCGCGGCACCAAACCAACTCTCGCAGAGCGCTTTTGCATCCATTGCGGCGCCAGCTCACGTCTCACATATATCCTCGCCACATTGTTTTGATGGGGAAAGCGGCGCGGCGTCGCAGCACCCAATCAAATCTTGCAGTATCATGAAGGCGGGTGAGCGGGGGCAGTTGTGGTAGTGTGCAGGGTGCTTGGAGGGCGGTGCTCGTCACCCGAGCGTGCGCGGCACCTCATTTACTTTCGCAGTAATCGGAAGGGCGCCGGGTGTGCGCGGCACCTAATCAATTCTCGCGGTGTCCATCTTCCTCCGACTCCTCCCCCTCCTTGCCCACCCTTGCTTCCGCCTTTTCCAGCCGTCGGTCCTGTGGCGTTCTGTTTCTTGTCTGTGGTGGTGCGGCGGGCCCGCCACCCCTGGCGGCGCTCCCCGCGCGTTGGTTCGTCGGTCCTGCGCTTTGGGTCGCGGGGGACGCTCGGTCGTCGTCGGTCGTGGGTTCGGCCGCGTCGTGGAGTCCCCCGCTGTCGTTTCTCTGGGCTCCCCTCGTGCCTCTGCTCCTGCTTGCTCTTTCCCCCCTTTTTCCCCTCCTTATTGGTTGTCCCCATCGCGGGGGTTCAGCTGCTCAGTAGTGTCTTTTTCGGCGCGCGCGTTCGCGCGTATCCTCGCGTAAGATTTATGCATATCCATGTGTTTATATATGTAGTATGATTTATATATACATATACACGCACCGTTATATTTTATACATATGTATACATATTTAGATGTTTGTATGTGTACGTGTATATATATATATATATTTATGTATGTATTTATGTACATATATACATTTACAATGTAGGTATATATGCATACGTATGTATGTATGTATGTATGTATGTATGTATGAATGTATGTATGTATGTATGCATGTATGCATGTGTGTGTGTATATATATATATGTTTCCCAGCTTGCCATTCTCCCCCTCTCCATCCTTTTTCCCCTTTCTTCCTCCTCTTCGGGTTCCTCCTCTACGGGGCGTCCTTGGTCGATGTGGTGACGCCGAGACGTCGGTGTGTACAGTGCACCTCGTGCTAGTACCCGTGCTGCGCGATTTACGGTCGGCAAATCAATTCGGTCGGCGCCAGTGTAGATTTTTGGGCCAGCTCGGACGTGTCACTGACACTGTCCTTTGTTGGTGGCGTGGCTACCCACCGAGGCTTTTACACGGATATTTTCATCAGGTCTGTTTGGCCCCGCATGTACCTGTTTCAGCGTGTGTCGCGTGTCGTTTCCGCTTATCCATGCTGCGTTCGTCTAGGGGTTGAGCAATTTTTTTTGTTTGCGTTGTCGGTCCGAGGGCATCCTACCAATCTGTTTCGCTGGACCTCTGCGCCAGTTGTTGTACCCCGCCGCTCAGCTGGTTCCGCAGCGGTTTCAGACTTTGTTTCGCTTCGCTGCTAAACGCAGTCGTTTGGTGATCCAGTGGCCACCAGTTCGCACCATATTGCTCGCGCTTCAGCTTACTTCAAGTTGAGCCGCCTCCTCTGTTTTCTGGCCGCTGCACGTTTCATTCGGATTCGCAGCTCCTCTTTCACACTACCTTGGTTGCGTTGGCAGCGCGCACGGTTTGTACACTGTGCTTTCGGCAATGTTCGATCGCAATTCGCAGTTCCACCTCACCGCGCCTGCGGGTCCTTTGTACCGCCGGCTTAAAAGTAAGTGTGTGTGTGTGTGTGTGTGCGTGTGTGTGAGTGTGTGTGCGTGTGTGTGTGTGTGCGTGTGTGTGTGTGTGTGTGTGTGTGTGTGTGTGTGTGTGTGGAGCCCTATGCGTGCGGCGCGTGCGCGGAACCCCATTGTACTGGAACCAAGCGTCACTGATGCGGAGCCCCCCCCTTGTGTGGGTGGAGCCTCCTGTGTGTGGAGTCCTGGTGCACGGGTGGGCCCGTGCGTGTGTGCGGACTCTTGTGCGTGGTTGGAGGTCGAGAGGGCTGGACGGCAGCGACCGCCAGAGCAAGTGCACCACAGGACGGAGCAGGAGGAGGAGCCTCCGGCCCGCTGGGGCGGCAGTGGCCCCGCTCCGAGGTACGACCTCCTGGAGCGGTGCGTCGACGGCCCGAAGGAGGCCGAGCTCGGCCGCGCCTTCTTCCTTTCATCTTCCCCTCCTTTCTCCTTCCTCTCTCTCCATCCACCTTCCTCATGAGTAGCGCCTTCCCGTCGCCCGCCAAGAAGGATCGGCACGGCGGGCCGGGCCTTTCGCCTGAGATTTCCTCACCATTTATGTTCACGACAGTTTCAACACGTTGCAACAGTTTCACGACAGGAGGGCTCTCGCCTTAGCGCCGCGCGCTTTCGTTTCAAAACTTTGCACGAGTTTCACGGATGGAGGGCGGGTGGTTCTCAAAATGTGGCTCTCGCTTTAGCGCCGCGCACATTCGTCTTAAAGGTTTGTAGGAGAAGGGCGTTTTCAAAATGAGCGCCGCGCACATTCGCTTTCAAAGTATTCAGGAGTTTCACGGATGGATGGCGGTTCCTGTTAAAGTGCGGCCTTCGCTTCAGCGCCGCGTGCATTCGTCTAAATATTTTGCAGCAGTTCTGATGGTTCATTTTTAGAAATGGTGTTTTGGCACGCTTCAGAGTCAGGGCGCCCAGACATGGCGTTCTGGCACGACTTGGGATCGTCAGGTCACGACAGTACAGATGATTCGCGGCGTTGACGTCCCAGGAATGGTGCTTTGGCACGGTTGAAGATTTTCAGACGGTTGTTTTCCAGCGGGGCTCTTTCCCGCGGTGGAAGTCGATCCTTATAGGAGCCTGTGGAGATGGAACTTGGAGGAAGGTTTTATCGCAACATTGTTGATGATTCTTTTGTTTACGCTGGTCCATACCTCCGCCTCCTGCTCCTCCTCCTGCTCCTCCTCCTCCTCCTCCTCTCCTCTTCCTCTTCCCTCTTTCCTCGTTCTCCTCCCTCCCTCTTCCTTTTCCCTGCGGTATGCTCCCCCCCTCCCTCCCTCCCTCCCTCCCTCCCTCCCCCCTCCTCTTCCGTCCGCACAGCGTGCAGCTCAACGGCACGAAGGGCAGGATCATCGAGTGGGTGGCTGCTTCCCACCGCTACCAGGTTGAGCTGGTTGAGCTGGTTGATGACCTTACCGGCAACCGCAAGTGGCGGAAGGAGGTATGATGGTTCATTGGAAAGGAGATCGGCCGAAGACCAGCACTGGTCTCGACGGCCCTGTCTTCCTCGACGGTTCGGGGCTCAAGAACCCCATTGTAGAAAGGTCTAGGGCTGGCTGGGGGATCTGGTGTGTACGATCAGCGGGCCGGTGTCAAGTTTCGTGCCTCAGACGTCCCATGCCGGGGTATTCTGCGGGTTAGGGGCCACCACGGAGCTCCTCGTCGGGCCCTCAGTGAGGTGCTCGGATTGCTCCAACGTGGTCTCTTCCTTCACGGGCCCGGTGGCCCATTAGGTCTCGCACAAGAACCTTTATGTCGGGGCCCTTTTTAAACATTCACTCGAGCTTGTATCCTGGAGTCTTCAAAGTAAAGGCTCATGCCGTGGAAGACAGCGCTTCGAATGCTGACGTATTGCTTTCTACGTAAGGCAACGACGAAGCATAAGCAACAGGAAAGCTAGGAGCTTGGAGCCATCACCAGGCGTCGTACCTTGAGCGCAGCGTGATTGATGATTGCGTTTTGGTCGCCCGCTGGTTTTGTTGGCTTGCGGCTAGGCTCCTGCCGACTTGGCCGAGTATCGATCTAGATGACGTTGTCTGAGCTCCCACTGCTGGTCAATCTGCGCCTAACGTGACAGTTTCTTCGCACGAGTGGACTTGGTGCCGCTCTTTCTGGAGCTGCCAGCGCTGCTTGACGAGCAAACGTTTGGAGTTTCCCACCAAGCCTCCCTGTGCAGGTTGCTCATGTGAGCTGCCCTCGGTGGCCCTCGAGATTTGGCAGCGTAAACGCTCGCTTAAGGTCTTCTTGTGCACTGTTGGATTGGTATTATATGGGGGGCAGTTTCGCAATCTGGAGTAAGACTGCGCTACAGTGACTGCCTCCATCTTCGCAGTGACTGCCTCCATCTTCGCCTCCTGAAAAACCTACTGAATGGTAAGCTCCCTAAGTTGGCCTACGTACATGCGGAGCCGTGTGATTTTTTGCTCGCCTAGTGCGGGTAGTGGAACGCTGGTGAAAACTCCCCCTCCTACCCCTCCTCCCCTCCTCCACCTCTTCAGGTTGCGAATACTGGAGGGTCAAATGCAGCAATGGCGCTAGTATCTCCTTGGGTTTAATCCTGCTTAATCTTGCCTGTTCCGGCCTGATCTGGCTTATTCCAGTTTGGAGGTTTTACGTATTCGGGCTTATATGGCTGAGTAGCCCCTTCTCATCGGGTCTAACATTTTTTGTTGTTGACAGTTCCGACGAGAACCTCCCCGGAATTACCTCCTTTCCTCCTTTTTCCTGTGGCCGAGGAAAAGAAGATTACACATATGGGCCAAGCAGAACCAGCAGGGGGAGAGATCGCTGCAACCTGGACTGATCACGATCTTCAGGACGGAAGGGCAGCCCCCTGATGAGAATAGTCTTTGGGACGCCCGAATCAGGAGGGGAAACAACACAGACACAATTAATCGTCGATTCCCCAGAAAATATGGGAAAATATGGGAAGTGGGGGGGAAGACAAAAACCCAGGAAATATGGGAAACTATGGGGAATCTTCTTATTTGTGTGTATTTATTTGTGTGTCCTGGGGCCCCTTCACTGAAGTCCCTCCCTGCTTTTCTGATCCCTTCTTCTTCTCCGCAGGTGCTCGACACCACCACCGTCTCGCAGCCGGCCATTTTTGTGGCGTCCATGGCCGCCGTGGAAAAGCTGAAGGCCCAGGAGAGTCGATCCAAGTCGCAGCGTCTGCGCTCTGTTCTTCGTCCCGCCGTCGCCGATTCATCGGCGACGCGGTGCGATTTCCCGACCCCATCTATTGCGGGCCCATTCGGGCGGCTGCAATTCTTCGGGGAGCATTTGGAGCGTCGTCTTGAAGCGTGATGATGTGGATGAGGAGGAGGAGGAGGAGGAGGAGGAGGAGGAGGAGGAGGAGGAGGAGGATGAGGTGGATTAGGCACTTCCATCACTTGGTCCGCCTTCGGATTCGCAGCGTTTCAAAGGCTAGGGTGTAGGACAGATGGGCGTTCCAGGAAGTATTTGGAAAGTTCCAGAGATTGGCTCTGAGTGGGCGCTGGCCAGGGGCAGTCAGCACGAGAGGCCCTTGCCCCAAGCCCGTCCGCCGTCCGCCGTCCGTGTTCGCCGTCTGCCATCCGCCGCCGTCCTTCGCCGCCACCGCCGCAGCCGTCCGCCGCCGCCGCCGCCGCCGCCGCCGCCGCCGCCGCCGCCGCCGCCGTCGTCGTCGTCGTCGTCGTCGTCGTCGTCGTCGTCGTCGTCGTCGTCGTCGTCGTCGTCGTCGTCGTCGTCGTCGTCCTCGTCGTCGTCGTCCTCGTCGTCGTCGTTGTCGTCGTCGTTGTCGTCGTTCTACTTGTCGTCGTTGTTCTACTCGTCGTCGTCGTCGTCGTCGTTCTACTTGGCGTCGTCGTCTTCGTCGTCGTCTTTACCGTCGTCGTCGAACGCGTCTTCTTCATCTTGGTCGTCGTCGTCGTCGAATTCGTCTCCGGGAAGCGAAGTGTCTGTCCCCGGCGCGCGCGCAAGCAAGCACGGCGCGCGAAGGAGGGCGACGGCATTGTCGACTCGGCGACGGCCGCCGCCCCAGCGGCTTCCTTTTGTGGCGGGGGCGACGAATCGCAGATGAGAGAGGCGAGGCTTGAGGTTTGAGGATCGAGGCTGTCGGGCGTTTTTCGTTGTTTTTGGGGTTTCCGGGAGGCTTCTCGGCGCCATGGCTGCATTCCCGTCGACATTCTGGTTGATACGTACCCCCGGATATGCCCAGGGGCTGATTGTGAGGGAGGAGGAGGAGGAGGAGGAGCCGGAGGATGAGGAGGAGGATGAGGAGGAGGGGGATGAGGAGGAGGAATGGGAATGAGGAGGAGGAGGAGGAGGAGGAGGAGGAGGAGGAGGAGGAGGAGGAGGATGAGGAGGAACAGGAGGAGTAGGATGAGGGCGGGGGGGGGGGGGGGGGCAAAGGGGTGACGTGCTTGTATATTATCTTAGGCCCGCAGGGCTTCCCGAAGACCCCAAGAGGCCCTCGGAGGCTGTGGCCGCTGCCGCACTGCGCGATCTGCCGTGTGCACCTCACGTTGGTGTAGCGATCCCTCCGTCTGGCCCTCCGCTTTCTGGGTCCTAGTAGAGCGGCTGTTGCTCCTCATTCCCTCTCCCCCTCCACCGCAGGAGTGGCATCCCACCTCCCTTCCTTTTCCTTTCCTCTCCTTCCTCTCTTTCTTCTTCTTCTTCTTCTTTCCTTCATCCCCCTGATTTACTTACCCTCCTCTCTCCTCTCCCTGTCCTCCCAAACCTCTCCTTGCTGGCTTGCTTGACGACCCAGGGGGCCAGTCCACTTGCAAAGGCTGGCCACGGACCATCCAGGCCCTGTGTGCTTTTTCTTTTCTTCCCGCGTCCCCAAGGGGCGTCTGCGAGTTTCCGCACCTGTGCTGGAGTCGTAACATGTGGGAGGACGCGGGGGATGGGGAAGGCGTAGAGGGCCGAGGCGGGGGAGGAGGGATGAGGCGGGATGAAGAGGGATGATGCTGCTGCTGCTGCTGCTGCTGATGATGATGATGATGATGCTGATGATGATGATGATGATGATGATGATTAGCGATAACGATGATGATACTGATGCTGATGCTGTTGCTGATGCTGCTGCTGATGATGATGCTGTCGGTGGTGGTGGTGGTGGTGGTGATGCCGATGGTGCTGATGATGAAGATGGCGCAGACGAATATGAATATCAATATGGTGGTGATGTTGCTAATGAATGATTCAGATGATGATGATGATGATGATGATGATGATGATGATCACGCTGATGAGCATGACGATGTTGCTGATTCTGATGATGCTGATGCTGTTGATGACGATGCCGATGCCGATGACGATGACGATGACGATGATGATGATGATGCTGACGATGATGATGGTAATGAAGATACTGCTGATGATGATGATAATGATGAAGATGGTGATACTGGTGATGATGATGATGCTGATGATGATGATGAGAATGATGATGATGATGATGATGATGATGATGATGATGATGATGATGATGATGATGCTGATGACAGTGATGACGATCATGATGATGCTGCTGCTGATGCTGATGATGATGTTGTTGATCTGGATGATGCTGATGGCGCTGATACTGCTGATGATGACGATGACGCTGATGCTGCTGATGATGATGATGATACTGATGCTGATGCTGATGCGGATGCTGCTCATGATGAGATTATCTTCATGTTGATGATTATTCTGTTGATATGATGACGATTTTGATGCTGATGCTGCAAGGTTAATCATGGTGGTGATTAAGATGATGCTGCTGTACGATGCTTTCTCATTGGTGATCGTGGTTATGTGGTGATGATGATCATTGCGATGGTGACGATGATGTTGATGCTGCTGTTGATGGTAGATAACGATGATGATGCTGATCATGATGATGATGATGCTGATGGTGCTGTCGATACTGATGATGATGTTGATGCTGGTGATGATGTTGCTGATGTTGTGTAGGTGATGGTGTTGATGAGGATGAGGATGATGATGATGAGGATGATGACGCTGATAATGCGGATGACGGGAATGAGGATGACGACGATGATGATGCTGATGATGATAATGGATGTGGTGGTGGTGATGATGATGACGATGATGATGATGATGATGATGATGATGACGATGACGATGATGATGATACTGCTGCTGCTGATGATGATACTGATGCTGATGCTGATGATCACGCTGCTGATGCCGAACATGATGCTGATTGTGATGATGATTGTGGTGGTGGTGTTGGTGGTGATGATGCTGAGGCTGAGGCTGATGCCGATGCTGCTTCTGCTACTGCTGATGATGATGATGCTGATGATGCTGATGCTGATGATGCTGATGATGCTGATGATGATGATGCTGATGCTGCTGCTGATAATGCTGATTATACTGATGACGACGATGATGGGACGGTTGAGGAGCAGGACAGTGATACGAGGAGGAGGAGGAGGAGCAGGAGAAGCAGGACAAGGTGGAGGAGGACGCCGATGCGGATGATGATGCTGCTGAGGACGACGATGATGATGATGAGGCTGCTGCTGATGCTGATGCTGATGATGATGGTGATGATGGTATGACGGTGATGATGATGATGGTGGTGATGATGATGATGATGATGATGATGTTGGTGATGCTGATGCTGAGGCTGAGGCTGCTGCTGCAGCTGATGATGATGAGGATGATGATGCCCATGAGGATGCTGTAGGATTGCGCTCTCGTTAGTGATCGTGATTGTGATGATGAAACGTATGAAGGTTAGGAGGGGGAGGCGGAGGAGGAGGAGGAGGAGGAGGAGGAAGAGGCGCAGGAGGAAGGTCAGGAGGAGGAGGATGAGGAGGAGAATAATGATGGGGATGAGAATCAGGATTAGGAGGAGGGGAGATGAGGGGAGCTGCTGATGATGAGGATGAGGATGAGGACGAGGAGGGGGAGGCGTAGGAGATGGATGAGGACGACACGGATAATGACTGCTGTTGTGGTTGTTGTTGACGCTTCTGCTGTTGCTGTTGTTGCTGTCGTGTCGTCTGTGCTGGCGATGATGACGACGACGATGGTGGTGATGATGATTGTACTGCTGCTGCTGATGATGGTGATATATGGTGGGTGAGGAGGGCTGCTGATGATGGGGATGAGGTTGATGGAGGTGCGGCCGCTTCTGAGTATGATGATGACAACTTCTTGACGCGGCTGCTGGTGATGATGACGACGATGACGAGGATGATGACGATGACGATGACGACGATGACGATGTTGCTGATGATGTTGCTGATGCTGAGGCTGATGCTGCTGCTGCTGATGATAATGCTGATGATGCTGATGCTGATGATGCTGCTAATGATGATGATACTGACGACGACGATGATGCTGCATGATTTCGCTTTCGTTGGTGATCGCGATCGTGAGAATGAAGCATATGAGGAGCAGGACGAGGAAACGGAGGATGAGGAATAGGAGCAGGAGAAACATGAGACGGTAGAGGAGGATGCCGATACGGATGCTGATGATGTTGATGATGATGCTGATGATGATGCTGATGGTGATGATGGTGATGATGATGATGATGATGATGATGATGATGATGATGATGATGATGATGATGATGCTGATGCTGATGATGATGATGATGATGATGATGATGATGATGATGGTAATGATGCTGATGATGATGATGATGAGGATGCTGATGCTGATGCTGATGCTGACGCTGATATTGCTGATGATGATGCTGATGCTGATGATGATAATGATAATGATGATATGCTGGTGATGCTGATGATGATGGTTGTGATGCTGATGATGATGATGATGATGATGATGATGATGATGATGATGATGATGATGATGAGGCTGATGCTGCTGCTGCAGCTGATGATGATGCTGATGAGGATGCTGTATGATTGCGCTCTCGTTGGTGATCGTGTTTGTGATGTTGAAACGTATGAAGATTAGGAGGAGGAGACGGAAAAAGAGGAGGAGGCGGAGGATAAAGGACATGGGGGAGGAGGATGAGGAGGAGTTCGAATACGAGTAGGAGAAGGCGGGTGGATGCGAAGGGCCAGGGGCAGATGGACGGAGGGGTGAATAATGATGAGGATGCGACTGAGGATTAGGAGGAGGGGAGAGGAGGGGAGAGGCTGATACTGAGGAAGGAGGAGATGGGGGAGGATGAGGAGGATACTGACTGTTGTTGTGGTTGTTGTTGCTGCTTCGGCTGTTGCTGTTGTTGTGGTGGTGCCTGTGGTGGTGGTGATGATGATGACGATGGTGATGGTGATGATGATTGTACTGCTGCTGCTGATGATGATGGTGATGTATGGTGAGTGAGGAGGGCTGCTGATGATGAGGATGAGGTTGGTGGAGGTGCTGCTGCTGATTATGATGATGACGACTTCTTGATGATGATGATGATGATGATGATGGTGATGATGATGATGATGATGATGATGATGATGATGACGATGATGATGACGACGACGACGACCATGATGCTGAAGATGATGCTGCTGCTGCTGATGCTGATGCTGCTGCTGCTGCTGATGAGGATGCCGATGATGGTGATGATGCTGATGCTGATGCTGCTGCTGCTCATGCTGATGATGATGAGGATGCTGATGATGGTGATGATGCTGATGCTGATGCTGCTGATGCTGATGCTGATGATGATGATGGTGATGGTGATGAGCAGGAGGATGATGATGATGAGGACGAGGGGAATGAGGAGGAAGTGAGAGAGCATGGGGATGATGAGGATGCTGAGTGGTCTTCGAGTAGGAAGAGAAGAATCAGTAGGATATGGAGGTTGGGTGGGGAGGAGGAGGGGGAGGATGGTGGAAGATTGTCTAGGAGCTTGGAGCATGGAAGGGATTGTGAAGGAAGAGGAGGAGGAGGAGAAGGAGGAGGAGGAGGAGGAGGAGGAGGAGGAGGAGGAGGAGGAGGAGGAGGAGGAGTATGTGAAAAGTCTGCTTGCGGGAGCGCTCTCCCCCGCGCTCGCCCCCGGGCGCCGCGCCCTCGGCCGCGCGCGCGCTCCCGGGGGGGCGGGCCTCAGCGCGCCGCCGCAGCGGTGGCTGCTCGCGTACGCCGTGGACAAAAGCAAGACCTGCAGTCAACCATGATAGTAAGGATGGGCAACCTTCCCAGGGGTACTCCAGATCTCGTAATAAAAGGGAGGGGGTCTGGACCCTCCAAGACAAGCCATTTCAGACCCCCCCCTGTGGGAAAACCCTCCAAAATATCGTCCCCAGACCCCCCCAGGCCCTCCAAGATAGCTTGGAAGAGACCCCCCCCCCGAAATGAGACCCCCCTCCCTTTATCACGAAATCTGGAGTACCCTTGCATCCTTGCCTCCTCGGTCCATCCTTCGCCGCTTTCGCTTGCCGCGCCCCGCTGGAAAAGCTTCGAAGTGGGCGTCCAAGGCCCTTGCATCCTTATCGCGCATCCTTATTATGCTGGTTGAATGTGCAGGCGGAACCTCGAGATCCCCGAAGGCGGACCTCAAGATCTACAGGCTGCACCTCAAGATCCGCAGGCAGAACCTCAAGATCTACACAGAACCTCAAGACCTGCAGGTTGATCCTCACGACCCCCAGGCAGGACCTCAATATCTACAAGCGAGGGCTACGAGAACACACACCTTTGCGGAGACTTGTCGGCAAGGGTGCCCAGACCAAACACGCATAAAGGAACACGGGCGCAAACAAACGCGGTCCAACAAAGAGTTGGGTACAACGTCCAGCATGGGATGCAGCCTCGGCCCGACGACACCGACATCATTGCTAAGGTCGTCCTCGCGAGAGCGTCCAAGCACCAGCTGCGTAACATGCAGCCAAGCTGCAGGCTGCGATAACGAGGTGCGTAACAGGCAACACAAGTTCGATAACGAGCTGCGTAACATGCAGCCCAAGGACGACCGCCACCAGTACGACATCACGTACGCCATTAAGACTGACACCAGCCGCGACGCGACCGAGCAGACCGAAGGGGTTTCTAAGTACGTCGCCGTGGAGGTGCCGGTGGACAACGGCCGCGCCGCCTACGACGAGTACGATTACGGCCGCGCCGCATACTACCAGTACGACAACGGCAGTTTTTTTCGATAGCGACCCGTATTCCTACGACTCCCACGATTACACCGGCCGCCAGGGTGCAACAATTGGCAGCCGACGATTCCGATTTGGATCTCGGGGGAAAAGAACAGAACGTACTGTCTAAATTGCTTCAGCCCCCAGCAGCGCTACCAAGGCCACCGGGCAACATTCGGGGACGAAGAGCTGCACTAGGAAGACTTCCACCCGAGCCACGCGAGGCACCAGTAGAAATGCCAGGGTCTTTGAGCTACAAGAACCGCACGAAGAGCTACGAAGGCAGCCGGCTGAGCTACGAGGGCCGCAGGCTGATTTACAAGGACCAACAGCAGGGCTACGAGGACAACGACCTGAGCTGCGGGCGCCACTTGCTGAGCTACCTGGGCCACCTGCTGAGCTACCAGAGCTTAAAACAGTTCTACGAGGGCCGCCAGCCGGATTACGAACGCCTCTGGCTGAGCCACGAGAGACATTAGGAACGGTACCAGGGCCACGTGGTAAGCTACGAGAGCCACCAGCAAAGCTACAAGGGCAACCAGCCCAGCTACGAGGGCCACAGGCTGAACTGCGAGGACCACAGGAAGGGCTAGGAAGACCACGACCTGAGCTACGGGAGCCAGTGGCGGAGCTGCCCAGGCCACCTGCTGAGCTACCAGAGCTTCCAACATACTTACAAAGACCACCAGCTGAGCTACGAGGACCACGAGCACAGCTACGACTGCGAGGACTACCAATGTGGCCACAAGAAACACAAGGATCGGTACCAGTACCACCAGTTAAGCTAGAAGAGCTACCAGCAAAAGCCAGGCTACGAGGACCACGACTTGTGCTACGGGAGCCTCTGGACAACAACCTGCCCTATGTGCACCATTGGCTGAGCTACGCTGAGCTACCAAAACTTCCGGCAGACCTACGACGGCCACCGGCTCAGCTACGAGGACCGCAAGCACAGCTCCCAGAGCCACAAGCAGGTCCACGAGGACCTCCAGCTGAGCTTCGACGATTGTCAGCAGGCGCAGGGCTTCAGCCTGAGGTACGAGGGCAACCAGGTGTGTTTCGAGGGCAGCTTGCTGGTCCACTTGAGCTGCGAGGGCCACGAGCTGAGCTTCGAGGTCGGCACGCTGAGCTACGAGAAGCACGCGCTGGGCTACGAGGACCACCAGTTGAATTACGAGGGCCACCAGCAATATTATAGAAAGGCCACAAGCTGAGTCACGCAGGACACCAGCTTAGCAGCAAGGGCTTCCAGCGGTCCACGAACGGAGCCCCCAGAGCCCCCGACGCAGCTACGAGGACCGCCGGCCGAGCTAAGGGGGCGACGGGCCCAGCTACGAGGGCCGCGAGCAGTACGCCGAGAACCACCAGCTGAGCGATGTTGGCCACGAGAGGAGGACGAGGGGAGCGACGAGCAGGACGAGCCCATCTTCTTCATTTACGCCGCGCCCCAGGGGCTGGACTTCTTCAGAGCCATGGTAGCCGAAGGGCAGGCAATCACAGAGGCCTTCGCCATCATGGCCATCTCGAAACTCGGGAACCCCGCGTTCGACAGTCCCCACGACATGAGGGTATCCATAGACATGAGCGACTACCGCCGCTGCGTGGACGGGGACGCGATGGTTCGCGCGCTGGGCCCCTCAGAGGCTATCACGGCGCTCGTGCCTCCCGCGACCACTACGGGGCGCACCAGATGGGTGTATTCATAGGCCGTCGACCCATGCCTATCCCCGCCGCAGAAGTTTTGCGACGACGGGCAGAAGACGAGTGCGACGACGAAGACAGCGAGAGCGACGTGGAGCACGAGGAGCTCACGAGAACTACAACACCGAATCGGACGAAAACAGGCGGAATGCTGAGTACTACTACTTGGCAAGCGACGGCTCTGGGGAGTCATGGCGAGACCGGCCTGCCTGAAGTCACGGAACATGACGAATTATTGCAGCGCTGCGGACAAGGGTATGAAGTGGGCGTAACACGTCTACAACGCTACAGACAATATGCCCCGTGCAGGACAAGGGTAGTACAAGTACTACGCTACTGACAATATGCCACGTCTGCATCAGGTACATCATGAGCGGCCCGGCCGCACCTCACCTTTTCCCCTTCGCATTTTGGGCCTCAGGATGGTCGATGCGCGTGTGGGCGGCCTCCTCTCCTCTCTCCCCTTTTCTAGACATGGGTGGGCCCTCCCTGGCCCTGGCCGACGGCGCCCGCGGCGGGCGCGGGGCGCGGCTCCGAGGGTAGTGCGCGATCTCGATCCGAGAAGCGGAGGAGGAGGAAGAGGAGGAGGAGGAGGAGGAGGAGGCGGAGGAGGAGGAGGAGGCGGAGGAGGAGGAGGAGGAGGAGGAGGAGGAGGAGGAGGAGAGGGAGGAGGATGAGAGGGAGGAGAGGGAGGAGAGGGAGGACAGGGAGGAGAGGGAGGACAGGGAGGAGGAGGAGGAGGCGGAGGAGGAGGAGGAGGAGGAGAAGGAGGAGGAGGAGGAGGAGGGACGAGAGAGGATGGCAGGAGGATGAGGGAGAGGTGCAGGAGTGTGGTTGAGGAGGGATGGGGTGGGTGGGGGCCATTTTCGAAGCTTCCCTCCAAGTCCGCTTCCGATGTTGATTTCTCCTCGGCCTCCTCCCAATCCTCCCAACAAGGGGGAGGCCGCCAGCCGTCCTCCCCGTGGCGGCTGGGTCCCGCGCAGAGCATCTCCGCGGCTGCGCCCTGGCACAGTCAAAACGCTGGAATACGGACTACCGCCAACCCGTATCAAAAGGACGCACGATAAGGATGCTCGGCGTTTTGCCAGCGGGGCGCGTCCAGCGAAAGCGGACAAGGATGGGTCGAAGGGGAAGGATGCAAGGGTCATCTTGGAAAGCTGTTTATCCTTGCTGTGCGGGTTGAGTGTACTTTGCGCTCAGGAGTGGCTCTGGGTTTCGGGCCGTGCCGGAGATCTAGGTCGGGTAATCCCTTCTTGACCAGAGCTCGCCGTGGCTAGAAAAGCCCATTCATTTTTCAATAAATGGCAGCACGATGGCCGCAGCCTGCCCGAGAAGATGAGAGCCGCGCCCTGCAGGTCGCCATGGGCCTTTCGCTTGGCGAGTACAGCGCGCTCTGCTTCGCCGGCGCCCTGAGCTTCGAGGACGGCGTCCGGGTCACAAAGGCGGGCGCCCTCTTCCAGTGCCCCTCTCCTGCCAAATCTCTACCCACGCTCAGGCCCACTCAATATGAGACCCGCTCAGACCCACTCTTGCTCAGACCCGCTCACGTTCAGACACCCCTGTGCCCAACCACTCACGTTAAGACTCACTCACACTCGGGGCAACTTATATGCGGCCACGCATGTTCAGTCTCCGTCGCACTTAGACTTAGTCGCATTCGGGCGCGAATGAAGAATGATGCCATGCTGTGCAGGCATGCCTGTATTTCCGCACGTGCTTTTCGTGCACGTGTGCACGTCCATCCATGCTTGCGCGCCGAGATTCTTTCCAGTCCAGCCTCGGCCTCTTGGTGTGGTGTCCTCGGGCCCCGTCGGGCGGGGCCAGGACAAGGTCAGGGGTTATGTTGTTCCAATATCTTATTTTCGATCACCAGAGAGAATTTCGAGCACCAGAAAATCACCGGAACTCGAGGGACTCCACGTGTCGGGCCCTGAGAGACACTCGTCCGACACTGTCTCGAGACTCTTTCGACGCTTTCCCGGGTGCTCGAAATCATCTCTGGGATGTGGTCCTTTAGTACGATGGGAACAACATCAGTCAGGGGCAATGATAGGGGGGGGATAGGCATATGGGGGGGATGCATCGACCCCCAATCGCCCATTGATCGCCGATGGGGGCCCGATAGCCCCAGCCTGCCCAGGAAGGTGCGGACTGACTATCAGAGGCCTGTCGCCGATCTATCGGCGCTGTATCGCCGGTTCCAGGTCGATGCATCCCCCCCCCTAGGCCAGTCCCCCCCCTCTACCGCTGCCCCTCACAGGGTGAAGACTCCGTTGCAGAGCGCCCACCAAACCACCCCAACCCAACCCGAAGCCCTTTTGCCTTCCATTTCCAGTGGGGGGGGGGTCGGGGAACGTTGAAAAAACACATGGAATCCGTACCCCCCCCAACCCGAAATTCGGGTCAAATTCGGGTCTTCGGGTTGGGTTGGGGGGGTCTGGTAGGTAGTCAGGCTCGGAACTGGGCTCTGGACGCTGGCACCTGGGAACAGATGTCTGTTTCGATGTTATTTGATCGCTTCGCTCCCTCCGCCAGCCCGTATTGTGCCATCGCAGGCGTTTGCTTGCGCGTTCGTGGCCTCTTGGAGGCCGCTTGGCGGTATTTCTGCTAGGTAGTCCGTTGCAGAGCGCCCCGGAACGCGCTCGGAGCGCTCCGGGGCGCTCCGGGCAGGCCGCGGGCGCCCGAGGCGGCGGCGGGCGGGCTCTCGCGCACCTGGCAGGGCGAGCGGCCCCCTGCAGCCTCTCGTCCTTCCCTCCTCCTCCTCCTCCTCCTCCTCGTCGTCCTCCTCGTCCTCCTCGTCCTCCTCGTCCTCCTCCTCCTCCTCCTCCTCGTCCTCCTCGTCCTCCTCGTCCTCCTCGTCCTCCTCCTCCTCCTCCTCCTCCTCCTCCTCGTCCTCCTCGTCCTCCTCTTTTTTTGCCGTCCACAACCATGTCTCAGGAATGATCAGAACCTGACAGAGCGAGACACCCCTGGCAGGTACACCACACGGTCCAGCCAGGAGGCTGAGACCGCAGGGCAGCGCCACTGTCGGGGCCATGCCCCCGTGGCGTGCCCTGAGCGCGACCAGGGAGCGCAAGGAGACCGTGCTCCGCGCACCCTGATCGGGGTAGGGGGCGCCGGAGCACGTGCTCCGGCGCCCAACCTACCCACCACCTACTCCATAGGTGGCCGCGGTTCCTCCTCGTCCTCCTCGTCCTCCTCCTCCTCCTCCTCCTCCTCCTCCTCGTCCTCCTCGTCCTCCTCGTCCTCCTCCTCCTCCTCCTCCTCCTCCTCCTCGTCCTCGTCCTCGTCCTCCTCGCCCTGGTCGTCCTCCTCGTCCTCCTCTCCTCGTCCTCCTCCTCCTCCTCCTCCTCCTCCTCCTCCTCCTCGTCCTCTTCGTCCTCCTCGTCCTCCTCCCGCTGCTCCAAAGCGCCCGAGACATCCGCGGAGTTGGCTGGGCAGCCCTGGTCGGGGGGGGGCCCTGCCTTGTGGGGCGGGCCTTCTCCCAGAAGGATCGGAAGGCCTTTGGCCTCCGAGGGGGCTCCCTGGGCCCTCTCCGAGGCCACAGGGGGCTTCTTGGAAGGCCAGATGGCGTCTTTTGCCGAGCGCGTTGCGTTGCGCTACTCGCAACGTGCCTACTCGCAAGCGTCCGGAAAAAACATAGGCTTGCTCCAAAGAGATGTATCGCAGATCTCCCGCGGCGGATCCAGGCCATTAGCGAGCAGTTACTTGTGCGAGTGGTGGAACGCGCTCGTCTAGTCTTAGAAGTCCCGCCGCCTTCTAAGAAGGCCTCCTCCCTCTCACTCCCCCCCTCAGCGCGCCGCCGACCTGGCTTCTTGTGCCACTTTAGATCGGTGATCCTCAGGACCTGTGTTGGCCGACTGCGTGTTCAGTTACTCCGTTCGGCCCTCGTTTCGTCGGCCGCGTCGTCTTGGAGAGCTGCGGTTGGCGCTCGCATGCGTCATGAGGCTCCTCAGTTGGAGCCCCTGGGGCCCTGTGAGCCTGGTGAGGGGTGCTCTTCGAAGGGGACGACACGGCATGAACATGAACTTTCGACAGCTCGCGCAGAGCTCTAGGATCTGCGCTGGCTCTCCCTTCCTGGCGCACGGAGCGGGCCACGGGCGGCGCCTTGAGGCGCCGCCAGGCGGGCGTAGCGCAGAGCGGAGAAATCCGCTCTGACCGTCGAGAGGTTGTGTGTACAGTGGAGACCCATGCCAAGAAAGACCCTGCTCGCCTCTAGGGTGCCTGGGGCTTCTTGGGTTTCGATGGTTTTGCTACGGAGAGCGTGACGTTCCCGCACCACCCATGGCCGTCCGGGTGTCTCAGGGTTCGGGTTTCTGATGGAAGGTCTCTGGTGGACTGGCCCCCGTCGCTCATGCCGCTTTGTTCTTCCCTCCAGCTCAGGGGTGCTGCCCGGGCCTCCCCGGAAGAGCTGTGGGCCGCCCCCGGGCCGGGGCCACCTCCGGCACCGCCGCCGCCGCCCCGACACCGGGGCCCACGCCGCAGGGGCAGGCGCACGCTGCCCGAGGGCCGGGTCCGTGGAGCGTCGGGCGGGTGTCAGATCACCGCCCACCAGACCACCCCAGCCCAACCCGACGGCCCCGATTCGCCCTCCATGTCTGGTGGTGGGGGGGGCTTCGGGGAGCGGGGGAAAACAACATCCGAACGCCGTACCCCCCCCCCAACCCGGAAATTCAGGCGAACTTCGGGTCTTCGGGTCGGGTTGGGGTCGTCTGGTAGGTAGTCATTAAAGGAGGGTGGCCCAAGGGGGGGTTAAGAAAGGAGCCCTAAGGGGCCCCTTCCTTCACCCCACCTTTGGGCCACCTCCCCTTAGCACCCGCCCGAGAGCGGTAGTGCGACGACACATAAACAGCTCACATCCGGGAAACGTGAGCCTCGAGTACGCTGGAACTCGGGTTTGCTGACGCTTTTTGACGAGCGCGTTCCGGATTTTGACGGTCCAGTTTTCGTGGGATGTTTGCGGCGGGAGCTTGCGTCAAATTTCAGATTGGGTCTTGTCATTTTCATGATGGTTCCGTTAGGCCAATCCGAGTCCCCAGAACCCGAGTCTTACGTCTTCCCGATCATACACGGTATCACTTTAGGGGGCGAGGAGGACGAAGAGGACCTCGTCGTCGGCGAGTTCGTGAGGTTTCGGCAGTTTTCGGCAGCCTTCGAGGCCCGAGGGGCGGTTCCACCCGCCTGCGCCTTGTCGAGGGCGTTCCTGGGGCACCCAGGCTCGCCCCGAGCGGCCGCGGGGGCGCCGAGTGATGGCCCGAGAGAGCCAGGGGCACCAGGCACACTGGTCATGTTGTGCTTGCGATCGGCTGCTGTGGGACAGGCGGGAGCACGCCTTCGTTCTGCAGTCAATGGGACGCGCAGGGACATACTAGTAGCATGTGTCCTCCCTGGAGGCGTCCGTCCGACCCGAGCATGTAGTATGACCACGTTGTAGTAGATTGGTCCCCTAGCGGTATGGCCAGAAAGCGCCTGCCACCGCGCACATACTGAGAGATTTCTCGGCGCGCGCCTCGCCGCTTTTGGGGCGACGCACACGTGGTGTTAGTATGCTCGGGTGACGCCGAGCCAAGACCCTGAAATGAGGACCGCTTTGGATTTTTTGTTATACATATATATATATATATATATGTAGCCGCCATACTGGCCCAGAAAGAGCAGCCAGGCGGCCACTGCTGTGCCCATGTGGCACGTCCGACTCACCTACCTCGAATCGCACTCGAGCCGCAGGTGGCCACGCGGGCGATGAGGACCGCCCTTTTGGCGGCGATCGCTCAGGGCGCGGCAGCGGGCGCAGCAGGGACGCCAGCACTCAAAAGAAGGACGACCTGGCGGTTTCTGCACTACAACCCGCTGACGGCTCGCACAGCGGAGAGGCTTGACGACATCGAGAGTGCATGTGAGAGCTATGACTTCGTAGGCCTCATCGGCACACAGCGCAGGTGCGACCTCCCGATCCAGCAGCAACGAGCGGGGGAGAGGTGGCGCATCGAGAGTGGATGGAAAAGAGCAAGCTTCAGCAATAAGTCGGCGGGCGTGCTCTTCAGTTTCGGCAACAAGTTCAAACCCAGACACTTGCGGAGGGTGGTCACAAGCCCAGAGCAATGTGCAGGCAGAGGGCTCTCAGTCAGACTAGCTTCGCGACAGTTTGACTTCACTATGATAGGCCTGTACATACCACCCGACCGACGCGAGTGGAAACCAGATCGACATATGAGAAATGCGTGGACATCATGATGGACTGGCTTCAGGACCAACTGCAGCAGGCTCCGATCAGAAGCTCACCGATCATATGCCTGGACCTGAATGACGGAATGGGAATGGTCGTGACAGAGAACGGCAAGAGCACGGAGTACCTGGACAGCCCAGCCCTGTACAAGCCAGGTGCAAGACGGGAACACTACGCAGGGAGACGGTTCAGAGAAATTCTGGAAGGACACCACTTGG